AATTTCTTCTGACACGTCCATTTCCCTGGAGGTTTTTCTGGTGAGGTGCAGACTCCTGTGGTGTAACTGTAAAATAATTTCTTCCACATGGCCATGAAAGCCGTGGCCGATACAGCAGAACCCTGCAGCAACAAGATCAAGCAGACATTCTGAATACCTTCCCTGCATGTTGTGGAGAATAATGAGAATTCTGAATCAGCAGAAAAAAAAAGACTAACAAGGGGAAACAATGTTGTTTTAATTTATTTTAGCAGTTTGCTACTTGTGTTTAAGTAGCATGTGCACCCATGCAGGCAGATTTTTGTTTTTGAAAGTTTCATTGAGACGTTCAGTGTCTCCATGGGCTGCAAAAGTCACACAAACTACAAAACTGTTCACGTCACATAATCTGCAATTGCATGGAGTCCCATATAGAAGGAAGAGCTTTAACACACAAACACATTCACCATCGATGCCTTCTTCCTACAGTCACTACTTCCTTCTGACCATACACTTTTCAGTGAAATAATTTCACTCAAACACTTTGTGAGCAACAATATGTTATTCCGAAGCATTTATTTGATTGATGACAACTACATTTTATTTTTCTGTCTCCTTTCTACTTGTTCAGTATCTTTTTTTTTAAAAGATGAGTAAATCATTATTTACGTCTCACCTGTGATGTGCATGACTCACAGACTCCTGCAGGTCTATGATGGTGACGGGGATTCCCACATGATGTAATACCAAAGTCTAACAGAGTAAGGCAGCATTGCTGATTAAAACCAGCGGTGGATTACTGAATCATTTTTTTTCAGTCAGTCAATATTATCAATTAAAAAGTTGGATTTTGATGTATTTTTCTTCACTGGGGAGATGCTTTTTTAAAGTCTCTGTTAATTTCATTCACACTCTCCTCCTAATATTAAAAAATAAACAAAAAACTAATTTTGATAATAATGGGGTTGATATTTTAGATACTGTCATTTCCATTTTTCTTGTGATTATTACTTTATTGTAGGTTTAAAGGCTGAGCAGTAAGAATTAGGGATGCACCGATGGATCGGCATTTAATCGTAATCGGCCGATAGCGCCTCTATCGGTTTTGATCGGAATTTTCAAAATAGATCAAAGCAAACCGATCAGGTAGGGTTCTCACGGTAACCAGTGTAGCGCTAAACCCCGGTAAAAAAAAAAAAGTTGACAATAATAACCGTCTTGTTTTTAAAAAACTATATTATCTTGGTGGGATTACCGTGGCTGCGGTGTAGGCGCGGTGAACCTTATCAGCCACCGTATCATCTGCTGAAGTTGCCGGCGGCACATACACGCTTTGTTTACAACAAAACTTTCTTGAAGCTAAAGCTGAAATAATGGTCAAAGGAGGAGACGGCAGCGCTCAGGACATTTATTATCCCTCAAAGAAGACAAAGTGGGAAGTACGGGCATCTTTTGGATATTTGAAGAATGCCGAGGGACAGCTGATAGAAGACGGCTATCCTGTTTGCAGCAGGTGCAGAAAAAGTGTCTGTGAAAGGCAGCAACGCTTCTTATCTCATGACACATCTACGTGACCATCACCCACAACTCTACAGTCAACGCAAGGCAAGCTAACGTTAGCATTTTAGCTAAAATGCGTGATCCGAGGATTTGGGTTGAGGGAGAAAGCAACGAGTCGCTATATAAAGCAGCCGCAGCGCCGCTACCTGCATATAAACCGTGTCACGGACACCGCCATCTTGAAATGACGCTATGCCTTACGGGGCTCCCAGGGGCAGATAAGAGTTGGTCTCTCTCCGAGAATAATTATGAATTTAACAATGATTACTGCCTGATGACATTTTCCTACATCTGCAAAGCTCACTGGAAGGACACAAACCGAGGACAATATTTTCCTGATATAGGGTTTATTACTCAAGTAAGGGTAAAAAAAAGTATCTGATTAGAAGGCTACTTGAGTACTGAGTATCATCTGATCTAATATTTTTAAATGATGACATCAAACAGACATAAAATACGAAGTTATGGGCAAATATTGGTATTTTAAAGACTAAAGGGGAAAAATTTAAACAAATAAACAACATAATTACAAAATAACACATTTGAGGCAACATTTAGACACAAACTGAGGACAATATTTCCTGACATACAGGGTTTATTTAATTGTGTGAAAATGTAGCACGTTTAAAAAAATACCGCGATAATACTGAAAACCGTGGTAATTTTGGTCACAATAACCGTGAGGTTAAATTTTCACACCGTGACAACCCTAATACAGACCATTTTAGATTAGGTTACATTTCCTTTATTCCCAGATTATGTAGTTTGTAGCACTCATTATAATGTTGTAGAAAATTTCTGGCCAATCCACGTGATCGGTATCGGTGATCGGTATCGGTGATCAGCATTCTTTGATATCGGTATCGGTGATCGGCAGCAAAAAACCTGATCGGTGCATCCCTAGTAAGAATAATAGAAAATGTTGATGAGTAGGCACCTCACACATTCACTGTGACATTATTTCGGTAAGCTTCTGCATTGTCACAAAAATAATTTCCATCCAGTGTTGCATTGATGACGGTAGAGTCTGACTGCTGCACAAAGCCTTCTCCAGCACATCCCATAGATTCTCAGTGGGGTTAAGGACTCTGTGGTGGCCAATCCATGTGTGAAAATTCTGTCTCATTCTCCCTGAACCACTCTTTTACTATTTGAGCCCGATGAATCCCCAGATCATAGCACTGCCCCCATAGGCTTGTACAGTAGGCACTAGGCATGATGAGTGCATCACTTCATCTGCCTCTCTTCTTACCCTGATGCGCCATCACTCTAGAACAGGGTCCATCTGGACTCATCAGACCAGTTTTAGTAATGTGTTCGACAGTTCTTAACCCAGTTTTAATTGTTTCTGCATCTCCTTAGATGTTTTCTCTGCTTGATGCACACCAACGATCTGACCCTTCTCACACAGACTAACATCTTTCCACAACCACTAGATGTATCTTTCCACGTGATTATTTAAGAAATGAGAAGCAACTCAATGCACCAGTTGGGGTTAAATAACTTGTTGCCAGCTGAAAGATAATCACCCATCAAATAGGAGGATCGTATTTGCTTATTAAATCTGTAGTGCTACAAATATAATGCAGTTAAACAGTGGCGTGTCCAGATCTTTTAAAATGGGGTGGCCCAGATGAGGCACAACTTTGTGTATGGGTGGCACCAATGGTTGTGCTTCTTTTTATTTTTGTTTTACCCCCAAGCCTTTTGTGGACAATGAAAAGCCTATTTAAAGGTAAATTAGTGTGGTGGCACCTGGGGTGGCCAATCAGATTCCAAGGGTGGCATGTGCTGCCCAGGCCACTCCCTGGACACGCCCCTGCTGTTAAATCCATGTGGTGACCTTTTTATAGGCCGGGCAGTGCATTTTCTGCACTGCATCTTTTCTTATATTTTGATTCCATTAATCTCTTTTTAAAGTGGCCGTGACTTCTATTCTACACGGTTCCCTGGTTGTTTTTAAAGTTTCACTTTAGAAATGTTTTTCTTCCATTCAAAATCATGTTCAGTCCAGTACTTTTACTTGACCATTTACTGAGATCCCCAAATAATAAGAATAATAACAACAACAACAACAACAACAACAACAATAATAAAGATATTGGTGTTTTAATTTACCACAAGCTAATAAATTATTTGACAATTAAATGGTATGATTTTATTATTCTTTTCAATCATTGTTCTTAGATTTATTTATTATTATTTAAATTTTATTTTTTTGCACTGCTGCCTGCAGTGAGAAGGTCCCATGTTTGTGTACTAACAGCAGATTTTCTGTGTAGAGTTTGAATGCATGTCTGAGTTTTCTCCACTGCACAAACCAACAACATGCATAGGGTTATTGGCAACCATAATTTGTCCCTATAGGGAGCGTGAGTACGTAACTTGTAGCGTGTGTGGAGGACTAACTTACTCAGGGTGTTCCCTGCCTCTCACCTGATGCTGGAGATAAACTCTATCTGCTCACAACTTAACTGAGAAAGCACGGTTCAGATAATCAGTGATGGAGATTTTCTTTTAGTTTTCATAAACAATCCTTTTATCTTATTCCCTTTTATTGTTGTTTCCAACAGCTCAGTCTGAGCAGACTGAGTGTAATGACACACCTGTCCTCCATCTGTCTAATCACCCCAGCTACTGATCACCCTCTATCTGTTGTTCCCTTCAGCTTCATCAACTGCTCAGTTTTATCAACTCCTATTTCTACATGTTTGCCCTTTATGTCCGGTTTGGCTGATAAATAACAACAAGCTCAGGAAAAACAACAGATGCTTTGATAAGGATCCCGGTAACGTTTTGCTATATTCAATGTGATATGAAACAGAAAATTAACATAAAAAAATCCAACAGTATTAACAAGTAAGAATTGATGCTAATAGGACTAATTAAAGCAATTAATTTTAAATACAAGGAAAAGTGTGTTTTACTGAGCCTGCGGTGCCAGCTACATAGACCACATTGTTAATGTTTTGCATTTCTAGATTAAATACTTTTCACAAAGTTGGTGTGAGTTTTTGTGTCAACAGAACAAAATGTAGTGGCTTATTTACATAAACAGTTAAATTTTTAATTGTGCTGTAGAATTTCATTTAATCAACCCTAAAAATCAATTAGGTGCTGTAAAATAAAGACTAGAGCAAACAAAAACTTTCTTGTAGCTAATTATTGATCCTTATAATTGCTTCATTTTAAAGCTTGATTTCATTCTGAGAGGTACTGAAAGAAATATAACTAAGATACAAATTGGGGAAGAAGAGTAAAAAAAAGAAATCTGATCACATGACTTTTAAAAAAGTCTGCAGGTGATACACGAGGAGAGCATGCATCTGGTCAGATGGTGTGGATATGATCGCCCCTCTGCACGGTCACTTTTCTGAAGGACAGATCAACCGTGCGCTCATAATCATTTGGGCTAAATGATAAATGGGGGTGGCAGGGGGTGGGGGTTGCCTTTGGGGTGTCTAGCGGGTCCCATGGATCGGGGATGGATGGCGCAGTGTGTACAGTGGGAGCGAGTTTAGCAGCCAAAGTTCCTCAGCTCAAGCAGGAAAGTTCGCTGGATGTGGTGATCCCAGCTCCTCTTGTCATGGATGTCCTGCACCAGCACGCGGACACCGACGCGTGAAATAACGCGGACCTTGATGCAGCTGCGTGGATGTATTTGGGGGGAAAAGATCAAAGTTAACGTTCTGCTGGCTTCGCTGCACGCTGCTGCCCTTTCAATGGACTGTCGGTTGTCTTATCGCGCTGTAAGTTGGACAAAAACTCATCGCATGTTTGGAGAGAAGTGTTTATCAGCAGAATGACCTGGCAGCTGACGTTATGCCGTGTGGTCCAGCCGTAGGTGTTATAAAACTATGAACTCTCCCTGTGAGCAGGAACTGGGAGCCTTATCTCGGAAACACCGACTCATGGCTGCAGCGGTGCCCGGTGAGGACAGCCCATTGCCCCGCAACGCGTCCAGAGCTGATCGGAATGGATTAGGGGGTTTTGTCCACTGTTTCATATGTGGAAGCGGAGTCACACCTGGGAAAGAATTACGGCTGCAAGTGACGTATAAGAAAGAGAGGTTTCCCTTTTTCCCATTCCTCCAAAACCAGGAGCCAGCCCCGGGCGCGTGCGAGCTGAGCCCGGATGGACACGCGCTGGTGTGCGCTGTGTGCCACTGCTTTCTGACGGAGCAGTGGAATTCCTTCGAGCGGAGCAGGACACCCATTGAGAAGCGCATGTACTGGTTGAAGCGACCCTACCAGTGCGACTCTCGGCGGGTCCCGCAGGAGTGGAACATCTCCTACGACTTGGAGAGGAGGGTCGATGTCGGCGGGGGCGCAGAGTCGGATTTCTCATCCTTTTCTGACAATGAAAACATCTCAGATCAGGAGATGGATCTAGTCGACAGAATCGTCCCAGGAAAGGAAAAGTATCTGAGAGCACCTGGAAAATCGCCAAGAGACAGTAGCAGGAAAAACAATGTCATCAGTATTAAAAACAGCCCGGATTCACAGCGGGCGACGCGCTGCGCGGTGGGTGTTTATGACGCGCAGGCATTGCCTAAAGCGGAGAGCGTTCAGCCGGCAAGGCGCGGTGCTAAAATTATGAATAATGTCCGTCAGTCATCAGGATCTCCGGTAAAGTCCCAGGAGAGACTCCCTCAGCGATGTTATGACAATCCCCAGCCTGACACACCTGTGCAAGACAACGGGGTCATTATACGCAACAGGCGCTGGCTGCAGGAGGAGAATGTCAGACATGTGGAGCCGCGTCAGATCCAGCGTGTTGCCGACAGCAGCTGTGCTCCATCCAGACACCCATCGCTGCTGCACCGAGGGAGAGCCCTGGATAACTCCCTGTCTTCTGTTGGCACGGCTGCTGTCATCTCTAAATGTAACGTGGCTGTTCCCAGGGAGAATAACTCTGACAGCTCAGATGAAGATGAGATTAACATCACAAGTGATGATGACAGGGACATGTATGGCCGCAAAGCAGGCTCAATAACTCAGCTCAGACCTGTCACAGACCTCTCAGCCAGAAGGAGTGTCCCTTCACCTCACACTGCAAACTCCAGTGCAGAGGAGTGTGTGTGCTACATCTGTGGCACCGGGCTCAGACAAGATGGTTGTTTCGAAATCAGCGTACAGAAACAGGAGCGGGCCCAGGGGGAGCCCTTCTTTCCCTTCCTGTGGCTTCACTCAGCTCCCAGAGGTGCAGTGCCCATCAGTCCATCAGGCACGACCATTGTCTGTGGAAGCTGCCACACCTCTCTCATACAGCAGTGGCAGAGCTTCCAGCTGGCTGATGTGCCTGTCCTCCAGCGCCTGTATGTAGTCCCTATAAATCAGGACACCAGTGCCCTCCATCCCTCCCAGCACACTCTGCGTGACGAAAAGACTCCTGTTTCAACAGAGCATTTACCTGAACCTAAAACGTTCCATGAAGCCTGTTTCCTTTGTGGCAAAGAGTGCAGAGGAGATATCAGAGTGGTATATGCACAAGCTGGTGTTGGAAAATCCCGCACTGTGATGTACTTCCCTTTCATCAACATGCTGCCTTGTCCACCCAATGCTCAGAGAGTGAGGAATGGCCGTGTGCACTGTTGCTCACAGTGCCATTCTCTTCTGGAGGACATCTGGGGGGAATATCGGCTCAGCCTCAGTGAAGACCTTATCACATCTGTTAGCTCTTTCCTCATTAGGTACCACACATCCATGTCCATTGAGGGGTCAGGTCCATCACACACGCATTTAGGACTGACTTCACACGCCAGTGGCTCCGTGTCCGTGTGTTACCTGTGTGGAGCGGAGCTGACTGCAGGAGGAGAGTACCAGCTGCATGTCAACCCACCGGGTCGTTGTGGGGAGAGGGAGCCTTTTTTTCCTTTTCTCACAGTTCACCCTCCTGCACCCCGAGCCAAGCCAGTTGATGCCACAGGTCTGGTGTCAGCCTGTAAGCTTTGCTACCACGACCTGCAGGCTCAGTGGGCCCAACATGAAAACAGGGGTCTGGATCCTTCCACTTCTAGCTCATCAAAAGCTACCTCCCAGCCACCAAGCTCCCCCTGGGCTCGCCAATACAGCTGTGAGGCGTTTGTGTGTTTCTTCTGCAGGCAGGAGCAACGCAGGCAAGGAAGGCTATGCACCATCACTGTGGCCCGGCTGCCTGTGTTTCTGTATGCTCCGCGGAACCCTCATACTCTTCTCGTGGATGATGGTAGCCGGCTGGTGATTGGCTCGTGTGTGGATTGCAAAGCGGTGGTGCAGGTGGGACAGAGCATGCAGCAGGATGGGGGAATCCTGGAACATAAAGCCTCGATCGGAGAAAAGAAAGATCCAGAATCAGAGCTGGCGCAATCAAGACATAAGGTAAAAACAATGGCATCATCTGTTAAACATCACATCAGTCCACAGGACGCTGCAGATTTTGTTTTCCTTGAGCTATCCCTAAGATTCATGCTGATCTTTGTTATCGAATTCAATCTGAACTCCAATAAGCGCAACGTTTGATTGTGCTTCAGGCAGAAGAATAATTAGTTTTTTTTGGTAGACTTGAAAAGACTATGCAGACTGGTAGGTTTTCATCAGAACTCACTTCTGTAAACAAAAGAGGAAAACGATGGGGATGCAGAGGCCACGGCCAACCCAGTGTTAGCTGTGCTCATGTGTGAGTTTATTTGAACAAGCATGACTGAGTAGGAGTCACCTGGTGCTGAATGGTTTGTTTGGGTTGGGGGGGTGCTGAGCGGGCTAGTGTTTTTCAGAAATTTGGTTCACCCTAACCCAACAATGACAAAAGTAACCTGGCGTTTAGGTCAGTGATAGTAAAATCACTTTTCCATTAATCCTGCACTCAAATTGCTTAACTTGTCAGGTGTTGTTTCATCACATCAATGCGCCGTTTGTCTTGTTGTTGTTCTGATTTGTGTTTATTTCGTGACAATTTAAAGTAAATTTGGTGGTTTTGAAACCATTCTTGTGTAAATGGCCCAGATGGTTTGGCTCAGTAAACAGTACATCCACTTCCTCCAAGGAGAAATCATTCTGTCATTTTTCTCTTTGTTCATTTTTTTGTTTGGTTTTGAAAGTTATTTCAATGACGCATCTCTCAAAAAGACAGTCCTGCTTTCCAGAGGATTGGTGTTGATTAGTTGTTGGGGCTCAAACAGAAGAACGGTTCTGGGTAATTGAGGTTAGCTGACATATATACGAAGGGCTGAGGAGTTTTTGGACAGCCAGCTGGCTTTCTGAACAGATCATGCAAACAAATACAGACTGTCCGGCCACGCAGCGGACATGTGAAGAACATCTGTGGATGCCATTCACACTCAGCAGCCTCAGTGCTTCACACACCCGAACCATCTGTCTGGAGCTGTCCACCTACTTCTCTCTGTTCTTTAAAGGAGTGTACTCTGCTGCTTTTGTAATCCTTTTTTGTTACTCTATATCATTAATTCCACCATTCAAATTAGCCTATTAAAGTGACATTTAATTTTGGAAGTGACTTTCTTCTTACTGAGGTTAAAGGGAGTTTGAGGTGATCACTGTGGACTTTTGGCACTGTCAGTTTTGGCTCAAGTGAGCCAGTGACCTCATAGCTGTGAGAGAGCCAGGGGTGTTGGGAATGGGTGCTGCAAAATAGCTGCAGAGAAACAGGTGCTTCGTCCTTTAGTGCCATGCTCAGAGCTTGAGAGAGTCTGTCATCGCTGAGGTTTGAGCTGTCAGGAGGGAGTTCCCATCTGGTTCCCTTTAGTCTTCTGTGCACTCACCAACCTGAGATCCGTTCATTCACTCAAGTCTTTCAAGCTGGCAGGCACTTTTGTATTGAAATAGATTTCTTAGAATTAATTTTTAGCTGAACATGCATGACTATGATAGCAACAAAAAGGAATCACTGATTAGCTTATCAGTTACTGATGTATTTTTTCATGAAGCATTTAATATCAGGTGTTGCACACTGAACTCTTACAAAGCTCTGAAAAGTAACATAGCACTATGAATGAGGCCAGTTTTGATGTTTTGTATTCTGGCTTTGTGCACTGGAAAGATTCAACAAGTATTGACTGGTTGATTAGAAGCCAGAACTGAATATTTTACATATTAGTGTAAATAATAACATTTAAGTTGACCATAAAAAGTTGAAAGTTTAACAAATTTTGATGAATGAGTATTAATTAATGATCGGAAATTCTAAAAGATTAATTTTAATTCAAAATAGTTTTATAAAGTCTAGGTATGAAGGAGCCACCAATTAAGCGATTGTCTTCTTTACTCTTTTACAGTCACACCAAAGTGAGAACCAGTTGATTGATTGATATTTTATTCCGAACTAACATAAAAAAAAATTTATACAACACAACTCAACACAAAAGCAATCAACTAATGAAGTTCAAAAAGGAGTAGCTAGAAGTAAAACTTGTACATTCCTACCCCCTTCTCACTTGTTCTTATCAACTTATCTCAAAAACAGTACAAAAAAAAAATATATATATATATAAACACATCTACATGAAAATATAAAGTGAGCGTTTAAAAAACTAATAATAATAATACAGATTTATTTGTTTGCAGTTTTCAAGTCGTGCCACTAGATGCCACCACAGGGGCAGCAGTAGCTCAACAGGTTGAGTGGGTTGTCCAGTAATCGGAAGGTTGCAGGTTCGATCCCGGCTCCGGACAGAGAATTCTGCTGTTGTGTCCTTGGGCAAGACACTTATCCCACCTTGCCTGCTGGTGGTGGTCGGAGGTACTGGTGGCGCCTGTGCTCGGCAGCCTCGCCTCCATCAGCGCACCCCAGGGCAGCTGTGGCTACATCGTAGCTCATCCCCACCAGTGTGTGAATGTGTGTGTGAATGGATGAATGACCACTTATTTTTGCCCTCATTGGTCAGTCAATTCATTATATCATTAAATTATATTAAAATTACTTTTGTTGAGTGTAACTGACAAATAATATTGATTTTCAGACATTTACTTCCGGTCTGTTTTACTCTAGAACACGATTCTCATAAAGTTGCATTTGGGACCCCACTGTGGATCATAAAACACCAGTTGGGTTTTCTGACAATTAACAGAAATCAAAATGAACTATGTTTAAATATATTTAACTTTTAAGAGCTCCTTCGCTTAGAAAACATTTTTAATTATTATTTTTGAAAGTGACACATGCAGGATGAACGTAAAAATTGGGTCCTACACCTGTTTCCCTCAGTAGCTTCTGATAGAAAATAGACAGTGAAAAGCTAGGATTGGAAAAACCTGACATATCTACGTCACACTGTCCAGGAAACAGCAGAAAACATCTCGAAGCTAACCGTTAGCATTAGCAACTCCACCACACAGCAGGACTCCTCCAGGCTTGCGTTATTTGTGGAGATAAAACATCAGCGTTGCAGAGCAAACAGAGTCAGTGGCAGAGTCGTATTGCTGTTGGCCAATCCAAGGCGAGATGTCCACATATCAGGAAATAGACTCTAAATCCTGTGGTCTGAAGCTACATTCTCCTCTGGCTGAATTCTCCATGCTGAAACAGGTGCGCTGGAGCTTTTTTCCCCCTCGGAGTAGCCATCCACTCCATTAGGAGCCAAGGAGCTTTTTAACTTTAGCTTTTTAGTGTAAAATTTGGGCTTCAAATCCCCTTTCATTTTTCTTTCAAACAACTAATCATTTTCACAAAAGGAGTGACTTTTTTTGTCTTTTCACATCTTTTCTAAAATAACTTTTTTTAACCTAAAGCACAATGAAAACACAGTTTGCTCAATTATTTTTACACAGTGTGAAATCTGGTCATTAGAATACTAGCACAGCATGAAGAGTTGTTGTTGGTCAGTTTTAACCTTTATGGACTCCTTGACATATTCAGATGCATGTGAAAATCAAACATTTTGTATTTTTATCCACTGTGATCAAAAACGTGTCCATCCAGTGCATCTACAGCACTATTTATAATTGACCCCAAACACACTGCCACAACCATTAAAATGATTTTCAACCATAAATAAATCCATTTATAGATTATGTACTCTTAAGAGACCACACTCAGTTTTTTTATTTATGACATGTACACAAACGATTAGTGACAAAGTGGGGTAGAAATGTTGAGTCTTCTGTTTTCTTTCACCGTTTTACATAGAAAAGGCATTTTTTAAACTTGTGGATATGTTTGCTTGTAAAGGATTGACTGTTTCCACTCTGCAGCACACATCCTTTAAAGGAGGTTTTAGTTGTCACAGGAATGAAATGTACTGGCATCCCGACAGTGTCGCCGATGAAGATTTATGGTCTAATGAAAGGAGAAGTGAAAGAAAAATTACACATCAAATTTAAACATTATGTTGGAAATGGAGAGGGAGAAACTACCCAGGAGGAATTCTTGGAAGGAGAAAAGGAAAATGGGGAGAGGGTTAAGGGGTTAATGGGATTTAAATTATAGCCAGAAGACAAATAAAGAGGATTCCCTTATCATTTAATCATGCCAGTTGAGTGTGATACACCTGGAATGGATATTTTTTAGTTAAATAGTGTTTATTTATTTAAAACCATTCTTATTGCATGTAAAGTTTCTACAGCTGTGCATCTCTCCGAGGAGCACTGCCTGACGGGCAGCTTGGTGCTTCAGAGGAGAGATCCTGGTATTTGAGGGGCTTAATATGAAAGCTGCTAGAGGTGGGTTTTGATTAGCTCTCAAAGCCTTAATCACTCTCTTCCCGTCAGTCTCACTCAGTGCTGCATTCTTGACCATATTCGAATGGAGAGATCAAATCATGCACGGAGCCAATGAGACTGCAATGTTCCAGCATTTCATTTCTTCCCGTTTATGTCTCAACCTTGCACAAATCAAATCTTCTATACAAGAACACCTGTGACAGTGCAGGATCTGACCTTTATGCCCTTTTGTGGTGTTTTAATCAATTTTTGCTTTACTAGAAAACAGAACCCTTTGATTCTGTTAAACTCTGTTGAACAACTTTCATTGCTGTTATGCAATCTAATCTATAATCTGTAGTTACACCTGCAATACATGACCTCCATTAGCCTCAACTGTTGCATTTATTTATTTATTTAAAGTTAAGTTGCCTCCAAACGTTCTTTGCTGTGCTGTTTTCTGACAGTCAGATCCTGGTTCTGGTCTATAGGGCCTTACATGGACAAGCACCATCTTACATTGGTGATCTTCTTAGTCCCTACACCCCCAGCAGGTCCCTGAGGTCCAGTGATCAAAGCCTACTGGTTGTGCAGCACCAGGCTAAAGACCAAAGGTGACGGAGCATTTGCTGCTGTGGCTCCCAGACTCTGGAACTCTCTCCCCCTGAGCCTGAGATCAGTGGACTCAGTGGTCTCCTTCAAATAGCAGCTGAAGACTCACTTGT